CCTCGCCAGCTCTTCTCTACTTTTAACTCCCTACTCTCTTCCCCCCCCCCCACCCAGTACCTCACTGACCGCCCACGAGATTGCTAATCATTTCCAAAACAAGATCGACTCAATTCGAAGGGACATCGCCAATGCTCAGACCTCCACCCCACCTAGCCTCCCTCCCATGATAACCCCCTCAACACTCCCCTCCATTGACCTCGCAACTGCCCAGACCCCCACCCCACCTAACATCCTGCGCACTAAAACCCCCCCAACACTCCACTCCCTCGACCTTGCTACCACTGAACAGGTCACTAAGGTCTTCTCCGAAGCCCGCCTCACCACCTGCCCCCCCTTGACCCTGTCCCTACACAACTCCTACGGTCACCCTCCTCCTCCATCCTACGCTCCCTCACTCACATCTTCAATCTCTCCCTCTCAACTGGTGCATTCCCCTCCCCCCTAAAGCATGCGCACATCACTCCCATATTCAAAAAACCCTCCCTGGACCCCACCGACCTGAACAACCTTAGACCCATCTCCCTGCTGCCATTTACTTCTAAGCTCCTCGAGCGCTTACTCTACAATCGCCTAAGCGCCCACCTCACTGACAACAACCTCCTCGATCCCCTACAGTCTGCCTTCCGTCCCCTACACTCCACCGAAACCGCCCGACTCAAACTCACCAACGACCTGGTAACTGCCAAAGCCAATGGCCACTAATCAGTCCTCCTACTCTTCGACCTCTCCGCGGCCTTCGACACAGTTGACCACAACCTCCTCCTTAAAAAAAACTACACTCCCTCGGCATCAGAGACTCTGCACTCTCCTGGCTCTCCTATCTATCCCAACGCTCCTTCAGTGTTACCTATAACGCCACCACCTCCCCCTCACTCCCCCTCTCTGTTGGGGTCACCCAAGGCTCCGTCCTCGGGCTCCTTCTCTTCTCCATCTCCACCTCCTCCCTTGGCCAACTGATACACTCCCACGGCTTCAACTATCACCTCTATGCCGACGACACACAAATCTACCTCTCCACCCCTCGCCTCACCCCTTCAGTCTCTGCCTGAATCACCTGCCTACTGAACGACATATCAGACTGGATGTCACTCCACTTCCTCAAATTAAACCTTTCCAAAACCGAGCTCCTGGTTTTCCCCCCTGGCCCGCGCCTCCCCCAACCTCTCCATCACGACCAATAACGCCACAATCAGTCCCAAGCCAAAGTTCTAGGTGTCACTCTAAACTCCAACCTATCCTTTCAGCCCCATGTCCAATTGCTGACAAATTCATGCAGGCTCCACCTCCGCAACATCTCCAAAATACGTTCGTTCCGAACCCCAGACACTACTAAACTACTCGTTCACTCCCTCATTATCTCACGGCTCGACTACTGCAACTCCCTTCTCACCGGCTTACCTCATCACAGACTATCCCCGCTTCAGTCTATCCTGAACTCTGTGGCCAGACTCATCCACCTTACCAACCGCTCCACTTCTGCCACCCCCCTCTGTCATTCCCTCCACTGGGTCCACCCCCCTCTGCCAATTCCTCCACTGGCTCCCGATTGCCCAATTCAATAAATTCAAACTACTAACACTGACATACAAAGCTATTCATAATACTGCCGCAAACTACCTCCTACTTCACCGACCTGATATTCAAATACCACACAAAACGCACTCTCCGCTCCTCACAAGACCTCCTACTCTCTAGCTCCCTGGTCTCCTCCTCCCATGCCTGACTCCAGGACTTCTCCAGGTCTTCCCCCCATCCTCTGGAACTCACTGCCCCAATCCATCAGACTGTCACCTACCCTCCTCACATTTAGGCGCACCCTGAAAACCCATCTCTTCAGGGAAGCTTACCCCACCCTCACCTAACTGCCGATCTCCTCCACTCCTCCTACCACTCCATCCCCCACAGCCATTTCCTCCTGTACCACTATCCCCTCCCTCCTAGATTGTAAGCTCCAAGGAGCGGGGCCCTCGAACCCCTCGTGTATTGTTTTGTTACTGTACTGTCTCATGTACTGTCTCCCATTGTAATGTACAGCGCTGAGCAAACTTTTTGGCGCTATATAAATCCTGTATAATAATAATAATATGTGTTTTTCCTTTTTTTTTCTCTGCTACGTTATGAACATTGGGGGCAGGAACGATTGTTTGGTCAGAAATTTCTAGATCTCTTGTTTTCTGTCCTTTGTTGGTGGGCAACCTCTCTTTTCAGCATGCTGTCATAGTGACTTCATGAAAAGACGATGAATGGTTAGAATAATTTTGTGTTTTTATTATGTTGCTGAATGAAAACCTTCAAATTTGTTATCATTTCTCTTAGGCTCCAGCGATAAGTTTCTGGGCCACAGTTGTGGTCATTACTAAGAGCTCCTGCTTCTTGTGTAAGATTCTAAGTTTAGTTTATATCATAGAGAATAGAACATCAGGAATTGGAACACACCAAAACGGGTGGGAGGACCTAAAACTCCAGAGTGGGTGGGACAAGAACCAGAAACATTGGTAGGGAGATCTTGCTGTTAAATGTACTAAGAAATCTAGGTGGTGTCCAAGGTAGGCTATATACACTATATTGTCAAAAGTATTGGGCCAGCCCTTCAAATTATTGGATTCAGGTGTTCCAATCCCCTCCATGGACACAGGTGTATACAATCAAGCCCCTAGGCATGCAGACGGCTTCTACAAACATTGGTGAAAGAATGGGTTGCTCTCAGGAGCTCAGTGACTCCAAGCGTGGTCCCGTGATAGGTGGCCAACTGTGCAATAAGTCCATCCGTGACATTTCCTGGCTACTAAATATTCCACGCTCAACTGTTAGTGGGATTATAACAAAGTGGAAGCAACTGGGAACAACAGCCACTCAGCCACCAAGTGGTAGGCCACGTCACATGACAGGGCGGGGTCAACGCATGCTGAAGCGCACAGTGCGCAGAAGTCACCAACTGTCTGCAGAGTCAATAGCTAAAGACCTCCAAACTTGGTGTGGCCTTCAGATGAGCACAACAACAGTACGTAGAGAGCTTCATGGAATGGGTTTCCATGGCCGAGCAGCTGCATCCAAGCCTTCCATTACCAAGTGCAATGCAAAGCGTCGCATGCCATGGTGTAAAGCATGGTGCCACTGTACTCTAGAGCAATGGAGACATGTTCTCTGGAGTGACCAATCACGCTTCTCTGTCTGGCAATCCGATGGACATGTCTGGGTTTGGCAGTGGCCAGGAGAATGGTACTTGCCAGACTGCATTGTGCCAAGTGTAAAGTTTGGTGGAGGGGTGTCAAGGTCCTACCTTTCCTCAGAGCTTGTGCTGCTCCATGTGCTGGCATCCATCTTAAGTTCCTGAAAAGCATGGTGGGAGCCTTTATGCTTTCAGGTCTCTGTGGCTCCTCCTCCAGAAGGGTGTGGCTGATCACATTTAAGCCTGCTGTCTGCAGTTGCTCTTTGCATTCGTGTCCTGTATGTTCCTTTGCCGCAAGCTCTTATTCCATTCTCGTTGCTCTCCTGGTAACCGACTCGGCTTGGACAAGACTATTCTCTGCTTTATCCCATTACCTGACCTCCCATTGCTGAACCCGGCCCGTGACCTGTGTATTCTTGTCTAACGTCTTGTACTGTTAGCTCCGTTGTTATCGACCCGGCCTGTCTGACCACGCTATACGGTTTCCCATCTGGCTCCCACCAGCTGTACGCCATTGGCGGCAGTCGTTACTGCAGCTGGGGTTACTCGTGGGCCGCGACCTGGTCTCAGGCTGCGTCAAGTCCATCCCCACCAGGTGGTGAAGGGCAGCCTGGGGCTTAGACTCCGCGCCCTGAGGGACTCTGGTCTGTGGGTAGTGGCTGTCGTCAGTCGCTGCGTGACCTTACCAATAGGCCTGCCTGCCCATTCCACCGCTCCTGCCCTGACAAGGGGAGATTATGGTGTGGGGTTGTTTTTCAGGGGTTAGGCTTGGCCCCCTAGTTCCAGTGAAGGGAACTCTTATGGTGACATTTTGGACAATTTCATGCTCCCAACTTTGTGGGAGGAGTTTGGGGATGGCCCCTTCCTGTTCCAACATGACTGCACACCAGTGCACAAAGCAAGGTCCATAAAGACATGGAGGAGCCAGTTTGGGGTGGAGGAACTTGACTGTCCTGCACAGAGTCCTGACCTCAACCCCATAGAACACCTTTGGGATGAATTAGAGCGGAGACTGTGAGCCAGGCCTCCTCCCCCGACATCAGTGCCTGACCTGACAAATGTGCTTCTGGAAGAATGGTCCAACCTTCCCATAGACACCCTCCTAAACCTTGTGGACGGCCTTCCCAGAAGAGTTGAAGCTGTTATAGCTGCAAAGGGCGGGGCCAACTCAATATTGAACCCTACGGACTCAGACTGGGGAGCCATTAAAGGTCATGTGCATGGAAAAGGCGGGGCCAACTCAATATTAAACCTTACGGACTAAGACTGGGGGGCCATTAAAGGTCATGTGTGTGGAAAGGGCGGGGCCAACTCAATATTAAACCCTACGGACTAAGACTGGGGGGCCATTAAAGGTCATGTGTGTGGAAAGGGCGGGGCCAACTCAATATTAAACCCTATGGACTAAGACTGGGAGGCCATTAATGGTCATGTGGGTGGAAAGGGCGGGGCCAACTCAATATTAAACCCTATGGACTAAGACTGGGAGGCCATTAAAGGTCATGTGTGTGGAAAGGGCGGGGCCAACTCAATATTAAACCCTATGGACTAAGACTGGGAGGCCATTAATGGTCATGTGGGTGGAAAGGGCGGGGCCAACTCAATATTAAACCCTACCGACTAAGACTGGGAGGCCATTAAAGGTCATGTGCAGGGAAAGGCCGGCGGCCCAGTACTTGGGCAATATAGTGTGTTATATAACTGCAATGCCACTTTATTTTGGGACAACCCCCTAAGATCGGGTGTAATTTGTAAAATGAAAATGTAAAAATAATTTTCTGGGGTTTTATTTTTATTACTTTCTTAGCATTCTGCTTTTCTTCTACAGTTTCCATGGCAGTAGACTGACAGACAGTTCCTGCCCCGACCTGGCATCAGGAATAAGAGATAACCAGACACTGAGGACACTGGACCTGTCTGGGAACCATCTGGAGGGTCCTCATTTCAGGGATCTGATGGCGGCTCTGACCACAAGCCGGATAGAGGAATTACTGTGAGTACAACAGGACTGGTGGGAACAATTATTATCCAGGATAGTTTAGCATCCGAAACATTGAAAGTGGAACGTCACTCTCTCAGCCAACATGGACAATATTTAATCTTTAGGCTGCTAGCATTCGTATATAGATAGGAAAGTCTATTATATTTACTTAACCCTTTCCCTGCCAGAGCCATTTTGGCATTTTTCTTTTTGCACACATGTTTAAAAAAATCATTTTAGGCCTGAAGATTGCACAAAACTTCCAACCATTATGTATTTGAAGCGGAAACCCTACAGAATAAAATAGCGGTAGTTCCAATTTTATATGTCACGATATTATTGCAGAGGTCTAGGAAACGCAACATTTCAGAAACAATCACACAAAGTGACTTTTAGGGCACACAAACACGATAAATGACCCCAATTGTTGGCAAAATATAAAAGACAACGTTATAGTGAGTTGCGCCATCTTGGAACCCGGTCCATGCGGGGACATCATCCCTGTGAGCCTCCCTGCGCCCCTCTGCTACTCCCCAAGTCCTGGACACCACCAGAGCGGCGGGAAAACACCCAAAGGACCTGATGCTCCCACTGGACCTCCATCACTTGACATGCCTACCTGTTACCTACCTATGTGAGTGCAGTTTCACCATCTGCCTGATTTTAACCGTCTACACTTAGAGTGGCGCTGCCGTCTCTCTTCTGTATCCGAGTAAATAGATACCCAACATGCCAAACCTTACATTTGTGTGCACCTGTGAAATTGCATCAAACTTCACTACCCTCTATATTCTATAGACGACGCTTCAACAGCCCCTTCAGGTCATCAGTCTAGCGTACCGCTAGGAGGAGGTCTGGTGCTACAAAATATCGCTCTCACCCTGGCGTGATATGTAACGTGTTTCCCGCGTAGGTGTCCCGACGTGTGCGTTTACATTCATACGTGCGTATATGTGGGGGTGGCCTCAAATTTTTTTTTGGGGGGGTGTTATGCTCTTGGGTGTAACTTACCGTATTTGCCGGCGTATAAGACGACTTTTTACCCCTTAAAAATCTTCTCAAAAGTCGGGGGTCGTCTTATACGCCGGTATAACATGACATGACACTTTTTAGGGGGGCGGCGCGGTGCCGCCGCCGCCCCCCCCCCTTCCCCTAACGGAAGGGACACTAAGTACAGGGGTGGGCAGGGGCTATTTCTTACCTGGTTCCGGTCCCACGACGATCCGGTCCAGGAAGCGTGGCTGCGCCTTCAGTTCGGCCACTGGAGTTCGCGCGGCTGCTCGGCTCCGCCTCCTCACCAGCGATTGGCCGCCAGAACTGTAGCTCAGGAAAGGCACACAGGCGGCCAATCACCGGCGAGAGGGTGGAGCCGAGCGGCCGCGCGAAAATCGAGTGCAGGACCAGCAGGTAAGTGGTCAGTGTAGAGGTGCTGCTGCAACCACATATGCTGGCTGCAGCAGCACCATACGAGAACAGAGTCAGCAAGTGTCAGTGGGAGGAATAGTGCCCCATCATTGGTGTCACTGATACCAATGATGGGGCACTATTCCTCCCGCTGATACCAACGATGGGGCACTATTCCTCCCACTGACACCAACGATGGGGCACTATTCCTCCCCCCCACTGACACCAACGATGGGGCACTATTCCCCCCCCCCCACTGACACCAACGATGGGGCACTATTCCACCCCCCACTGACACCAACGATGGGGCACTATTCCACCCCCACTGACACCAATGATGGGGCACTATTCCACCCCCCACTGACACCAACGATGGGGCACTATTCCACCCCCCACTGACACCAACGATGGGGCACTATTCCACCCCCCACTGACACCAACGATGGGGCACTATTCCACCCCCACTGACACCAATGATGGGGCACTATTCCACCCCCCACTGACACCAACGATGGGGCACTATTCCACCCCCCACTGATACCAATGATGGGCACTATTCCTCCCACTGACACCAATGTTGGGACACTATTCCTCCTACTGACACCAATGATGGGGCACCATTCCCCCCACTGATACTAATGATGGGACACTATTCCCCCCACTGATACCAATGATGGGGCACTATTCCCCCCACTGATACCAATGATGGGGCACTATTCCTCCCACTGACACCAATGATGGGACACTATTCCCCCCACACTGATACCGATGATGGGGCACTATTCCTCCCACTGACACCAATGTTGGGACACTATTCCTCCTACTGACACCAATGATGGGGCACCATTCCCCCCACTGATACTAATGATGGGACACTATTCCCCCCACTGATACCAATGATGGGGCACTATTCCCCCCACTGATACCGATGATGGGGCACTATTCCTCCCACTGACACCAACGATGGGGCACTATTCCTCCCCCCCACTGACACCAACGATGGGGCACTATTCCCCCCCCCACTGACACCAACGATGGGGCACTATTCCACCCCCCACTGACACCAACGATGGGGCACTATTCCACCCCCACTGACACCAATGATGGGGCACTATTCCACCCCCCCACTGACACCAACGATGGGGCACTATTCCACCCCCCACTGACACCAATGTTGGGACACTATTCCTCCTACTGACACCAATGATGGGGCACCATTCCCCCCACTGATACTAATGATGGGACACTATTCCCCCCACTGATACCAATGATGGGGCACTATTCCCCCCACTGATACCAATGATGGGGCACTATTCCTCCCACTGACACCAATGATGGGACACTATTCCCCCCACTGATACCGATGATGGGGCACTATTCCTCCCACTGACACCAATGTTGGGACACTATTCCTCCTACTGACACCAATGATGGGGCACCATTCCCCCCACTGATACTAATGATGGGACACTATTCCCCCCACTGATACCAATGATGGGGCACTATTCCCCCCACTGATACCGATGATGGGGCACTATTCCTCCCACTGACACCAACGATGGGGCACTATTCCTCCCCCCCACTGACACCAACGATGGGGCACTATTCCCCCCCCCCACTGACACCAACGATGGGGCACTATTCCACCCCCCACTGACACCAACGATGGGGCACTATTCCACCCCCACTGACACCAATGATGGGGCACTATTCCACCCCCCCACTGACACCAACGATGGGGCACTATTCCACCCCCCACTGACACCAATGTTGGGACACTATTCCTCCTACTGACACCAATGATGGGGCACCATTCCCCCCACTGATACTAATGATGGGACACTATTCCCCCCACTGATACCAATGATGGGGCACTATTCCCCCCACTGATACCGATGATGGGGCACTATTCCTCCCACTGGTGTGCACTGGAAGAGGGGTAGTCTTATACGGCGAGTATAGCCCAAACACTACATTTTAGCAGGAAAAGTAGGGGGGTCGTCTTATACGCCGGCAAATACAGTAATTTTTTCACAATTGTTTTACTATTCTAGCCGGGAAAGTGACAACCGTGACCCCGGGAGTGACATCATGGATGTCGCCTTCCAGGTCACACAAAAAAAAGGGGAGGGGAGCGAGCGCGTGCCCGCTCTCCCCTCCACCCGCTGGCACCCACCATGGCTCTCCCCAGGCCCGCAGATGGGCAAGCGGAGTCGAACACATGGGCTGGGGGGGGGGACACCAGCTACCGGAAGCAATTGGAGGCGGGGGAGATGCCTGACAGGCAGGAGTCTGCCTGTCAGTTTTAGATACAATCCTGGTAGCTGCAGCCACCCAGGTCCTGGCAGAGAAATGGTTAAAAATGTTTTGTTTTTTTTTTTTCTTTTTTTACATTTCTTCAGTTACAGTATCTCCCAGAAGTGAGTCCACCCCCCCCCCCCCCCCCCAGACTGTATACAACGTGCGTGTGTGTGTGTATGTGTGTATATATGTGCGGCCAGACTCATCCACCTCACCAAGCGCTCCACATCTGCCTCCCCCCCTCTGCCAATCACTTCACTGGCTCCCGATTGCCCAACGCATCAAGTTCAAGCTGCTAACCCTGACCTACAAGGCCACTCTTAATGCCGCCCCGAACTACATAACCGACCTGATACCCAGATACTACCCTACCCGTGCCCTCCGCTCCTCACAGGAGCTCCTGCTCTCTAGCTCCCTGGTCTCCTCCTCCCACGCCCGATTGCAGGACTTCTCTAGGACTTCCCCCATCCTCTGGAACTCTCTCCCTACCCCAATCCATCAGAATGTCACCTACCCTCCTCACTTTCAGGCACACCCTGAAAACCCTCCTCTTCAGGGAAGCCTACCCCACCCTCACCTAACACCCGACCTCACCTAACAACTAACCTTCTTCACTCCACCCACCACTCCACCCCCCCACAGCCATCTCCTCCTGTGCCACCTTCCCCTCCCTCCTAGATTGTAAGCTCAAAAGAGCAGGGCCCTCGAACCCCTCGTGTATTGTATTGTTACTGTCTTGTCTCATGTTCTGTCCCCCACTATACTGTACAGCACTGAGCATACCCTTTGGCGCTATATAAATACTGTATAATAATAATAATAATATATACTCAGTATCTCCCAGAAGTGAGCCCCCCCTCCCCCCCTCACATTTGTGTAAATATTTGATTCTCTCTTTTCATGTGACAACACTGAAGAAGTGACACTTTGCTACAATGTGTACAGCTTGTATAACATGGAAATTTGCTGTCCCCTCAAAATAACTCAACACACCGCCATTAATGTCTAAACCGCCGGCAACAAAAGTGACTCCACCCCTAAGTGACAAGGTCCAAATTGGGCCCAATGAGCCATTTTCCCTCCCCGGTGTCATGTGACTCGTTAGTGTTACAAGGTCTCAGGTGTGAATGAGGAGCGGGTGGGTTACATTTGGTGTTATCGCTCCTACTCTCTCATACTGGTCACTGGAAGTTCAACATGGTACCTCATGGCAAAGAACTCTCAGCTGCAGCTGCCTAAGGTGACAACATGTCTGTCTGTGTCTTCCATATGTAGTTTTATGTTGTCACCCTGTCACACACACTTCTGATAGAGATTACAAGTGACCTTACCAAGAGATACACAAAGGCATGGCATGGCATTGTCACAGAAGACCTCCTCTGGAGGCGAAGAGACCACGGAAGGTAATCAGCGCCGAGATGCAACAAAGGATGAAAAAGGGATAAAACTATTTATTTTAAATAAAATTCCAATTGGTTTTTGATACGTTGTGCTTAGCAAACACATTGTCATGCAGTAAGGGTTTACACATGTATATTAGGATGATTTTTTCTTTTCTTCTACAGTTTGAATGATAATAACCTGACAGACAGTTCCTGCCCTGACCTGGCATTGGGAATAAGAGACAACCGGACACTGAGGAGACTTCATCTCTGTAGAAACCATCTGGAGGGTCCTCATTTCAGTCACCTGATGACAGCTCTGACCACAAGCCGGATAGAGGAACTATTGTAAGTATAAGAGGACTGATTAAATCTGGGGGCGCATGTGCATCCAAAAGATATCAAAATAAATTGGGGTTCTTTTTATAAGGTGTTGAATACTAATTGCATTTAGGGTAACTATACATTCATGAACTATTTCATTCATTCTATAATACCCCTTCATTGCCAGGCCATTTTATAGTTTTCAGTGATGTGATACAGTGAAGGAAATGCGCATTTGCTCCCCTCACACAGAAATGATCGGTCTAACAATGGAATGTTCGCCCCTCACACAGAAATGATCGGTCTAACAATGGAATGTTCGGTGTAACACTGAGAGACAGAATACAACAACAAATTCAGCAGAAATGCTTCTAACAAATGATGACTGATCTGCATGTTCATGAGGGAAAGAAGGATTTGATCCCCTATCATTCAGCAAGATTTCTGGCTCCCAGGTGTCTTTTATACAGGTAACAAGCTGAGATTAGAAGCAGTCTCTTAAAGGGAGTGCTGCTAATCTCATTGTGTTACCTGTATAAAAGACACCTGTCCACAGGAGCCATCAAACAATCAGATTCCAAACTCTCCACCATGGCAAAGACCAAAGAGCTGTCCAAGGATGTCAGGGACAAGATTGTACACCTACATAAGGCTGGACTGGGCTACCAAACTATCGCCAAGCAGCTTGGTGAGAAGGTGACAACAAGAACACCATCTCAACTGTCAAACATGGTGGTGGAAACATTCTGCTTTGGGGGTGTTTTCTGCTAAGGGGACAGGACAACTGCACCGCATCAAAGGGACGATGGACGGGGCAATGTACAGTCAAATCTTGGGTGAGAACCTTCTTCCCTCAGCTAGGGCATTGAAAATGGGTGGTGGATGGGTGTTCCAGCATGACAATGACCCAAAACACACGGCCAAGGCAACAAAGGAGTGGCTCAAGAAGAAGCACATTAAGGTCCTGGAGTGGCCTAGCCAGTCTCCAGACCTTCATCCGATTGAAAATCTGTGGAGGGAGCTGAAAGTTCGAGTTGCCAAAAAGTCAGCCACCAAACCTTAATGACTTGGAGAGGATCTGCCAAGAGGAGTGGGCCAAAATCCCTCCTGAGATGTGTGCAAACCTGGGGGCCAACTACAGGAAACGTCTGACCTCTGTGATTGCCAAAAAGGGATTTGCCACCAAGTACTAAGTCATGTTTTGTGAAGGGGATCAAATCCTTCTTTCCCTCATGAACATGCAAATCAGTGGATCATTTGTTAGACGCATTTCTGCTGAATTTGTTGTTGTATTCTGTCTCTGTGTTACAATACACCGAACATTCGATTTTTAGACCGATCATTTCTTTGTGAGGGGCAAACATTCAAAATCAGTCAGGGAACAAATACGCATTTCCTTCACTGTACTTTGACAATTTCTGTCATTCATTAGTGTACCTAAATTATTTTCTATAATTTTCAGAGAAATACAAGTGTCTTTAGGTGGTATTTCTCCTTGGCAAAGCCTTGTGGGACCAAATTCATACCCTGCCCCATGGGAGATGTGGAACCTGCCTGACTTAAGCTATGTCTCTGCACTTCCTGTTTGCCAAATTATTGTGCCTTCTCCAGCCAGTATCTCGCTTTGTCTCTCCTGCTGCCGTCCATACTGTCACTACCGTCCAATTTTCTGCCACAATGTCGGAATTCATGGGCTGAATTTCTGGCCTTATTGACGCCATAAACAATAGGGTCACAGTAGGGTTTTACTTCCTCTACTTATTCGGTCTTTGACTTTGCACTTAAGCTAGACACAGTGCCAGGAAGTGTCAGCTGAGAAGAACCCATCACCTTAGGGGGGTTCAGATCAGGATGAAAGTTCTCCTGAGCTAAAGAAGACTATCGCTATATCCTATTAAGGCTTTACACTCTTGTTTGACCCTGAAGTAGCCAGAGTCTGCTTCCCCAAAGTCATCCAGTATGGAGGTCTCTATAATTCCCAAAACCAGCTAAGACCTTCCTGGGTTAAGACCTTGTGGAGCCTGTCCTGTATGGAGACTGGCTTCACCCAGGAAATATATTTTCTCCATCTAAATGTTTTGGCAGACCTTCTCAGTCCTCAGTATCTGGACCCAGGTAAATAGCTTTTCACCAAGCCCTTTGCCACAGATGGAAGATGCAAGTGTGGATCTGCTGGCACCCAGATTAAACAACAAACTGGACAGGGATCTTTGGGTCTTTGCAGTGGATGCAATGGTGATGCCATGGGATCAGTTTAGTCTGACCTATGCCTTTTTACCCCTCCCAATTCTCCCTCACCTCCTTTGCAAGATCAAAAAGGAAGGCATTCCAGCAATTCTCATTGCACTGAACTGGCCCAGAAGGATACGGTACTCAAACTTGCTTAGGCTCCTGACAAATGCTTCACAGACCATTGTGGATGTCCAGACCTTCGGACACAAGGACTGGTGTTCCATCCTGCTTCTCAGTCATTGGCCTTAATGGCATAGATCTTGAAATCACAGAGAGGATAAGGGACTTTCAGATTCAGTCTTTCCTACCCTCTTGACTAGAAGGTTGACTAGTTGAAACGTCTACCATTGTACCTGGAAGGTTTACTTCACTTTGCATGAGTGAAGGAACTTTCATCCCAGAAAGTACTCTGTAGGACAAATTCGGACCTTCCAATCTGGTGTGGACCAAATATGGGTCTTGAGCAACATTAAGGGACGGATCTCTGGTTCGGCCATTCTGTCTCAGAGCCCTACGGCTCTCACTCTCTATTTAATGCTTTTGCTCAGGGATTAGCTCACATGTGTCCTCCTCTTTTCCTGTGTTCCCTTGGGACCTCAATCTGGTTCTTTTGGCCACCCTTTGAGCCTGTTAGGGATATTCCTTTGTCTGATCTTACCCATCAAGTGGAGTTTCTTGAGGCAGTGTCAATGACCTTAATTGTGGTAGTGCCTGAGTGATTTTTTTATTGGTTGACCAGTGGTTGAGGGGGGGGGTCTTCTCAGGATCCAGAAGAGCAGTGATGTAATTGCAAGGGACTTGGGTGATTATACAGTCAGGTCCATAAATATTGGGACATCGACACAATTCTAACATTTTTGGCTCTATACACCACCATAATAGATTTGAAATGAAACGAACAAGATGTGCTTTAACTGCAGACTGTCAGCTTTAATTTGAGGGTATTTACATCCAAATCAGGTGAACAGTGTAGGAATTACAACAGTTTGCATATGTGCCTCCCACTTGTTAAGGGACCAAAAGTAATGGGACAATTGGCTTCTCAGCTGTTCCATGGCCAGGTATGTGTTATTCCCTCATTATCCCAATTACAATGAGCAGATAAAAGGTCCAGAATTCATTTCAAGTGTGCTATTTGCATTTGGAATCTGTTGCTGTCAACTCTCAAGATGAGATCCAAAGAGCTGTCACTATCAGTGAAGCCATCATTAGGCTGAAAAAGAAAAACAAACCCATCAGAGAGAGATAGCAAAAACATTAGGTGTGGCCAAAACAACTGTTTGGAACATTCTTAAAAAGAAGGAACGCACCGGTGAGCTCAGCAACACCAAAAGACCCGGAAGACCACGGAAAACAACTGTGGTGGATGAGCGAAGAAGTCTTTCCCTGGTGAAGAAAACACCCTTCACAACGGTTGGCAGATCAAGAACACTCTCCAGGAGGTAGGTGTATGTGTGTCAAAGTCACCAATCAAGAGAAGACTTCACCAGAGTGAATACAGAGGGTTCACCACAAGATGGAAACCATTGGTGAGCCTCAAAAACAGGAAGGCCAGATTAGAGTTTGCCAAACGACATGTAAAAAAGCCTTCACAGTTCTGGAACAACATCCTATGGACAGATGAGACCGACATCAACTTGTACCAGAGTGATGGGAAGAGAAGAGTATGGAGAAGGAACTGCTCATGGTCCTCAGCATACCACCTCATCAGTGAAGCATGGTGGTGGTAGTGTCATGGCGTGGGCATGTATGGCTGCCAATGGAACTGCTTCTCTTGTATTTATTGATGATGTGACTGCTGACAGAAGCAGCCGGATGAATTGTGAAGTGTTTCGGGAATATTATCTGCTCATATTCAGCCAAATGCTTCACAACTCATTGGACGCTTCACAGTGCAGATGGACAATGACCCAAAGCAGACTGCAAAAGACACCAAAGAAAGGAAAGAAGTGGAATGTTCTGCAATGGCCAAGTCAATCACCTGACCTGAATCCAATTGAGCATTTCACTTTGACAAAACTGAAGGGAAAATGCCCCAAGAACAAGCAGGAACTGAAGACAGTTGCAGTAGAGGCCTGGCAGAGCATCACCAGGGATGACACCCAGCGTCTGTGATGTCTATGCGTTCCAGACTTCAGGCTGTCATTGACTGCAAAGGATTTTCAATCAAGTATTAAAAAGTGAAAGTTTGATTTATGATTATTATTCTGTCCCATTACTTTTGGTCCCTTAACAAGTGGGAGGCACATATGCAAACTGTTGTAATTCCTACACCGTTCACCTGATTTGGATGTAAATACCCTCAAATTAAAGCTGACAGTCTGCAGTTAAAGCACATCTTGTTCGTTTCATTTCAAATCCATTGTGGTGGTGTATAGAGCCAAAAATGTTAGAATTGTGTCGATGTCCCAATATTTATGGACCTGACTGTAAATTGCTTTAACAGGTAAGAGCAAAAACCAAAACCTTGTAGGATGGGCTGGAGTGGGTGGGTGGGGAATTTATTTTCCAATATCAGTCCTGCTCTTTCAATCCCAATGAAGAGAAATCCCCATCAGCACTTCAATAACGTGAGCTTGTTTTAAAATTTAGCAGCAGCCACTAAGCAGCTTTTTTTTTTTTGTTAAAATGAAATTCTGCTTTTAATATATCTTCTTGAGGATCCATTTGATTGAAAAATATTTTCTTCTCCTTGTCTACAGTTTGAATTGCAATAACTTGGTAAGCAGTTCCTGCCCCCACCTGGCATTGGGAATACGAAATAACCGGACGCTGAGAAGATTTGACCTGTCCTATAACAATCTGGAGGGTCCTCATTTCAGGGACCTGATGGAGGCTCTGACCACAAGCCAGATAGAGGAATTACAGTGAGTAGAACAGGAATCATGTAATAACTTTCTGAAACACTTTTACATCTAAAACATTCAGGCCTGATTTTATGATACGCAACATTTCAGTAAAAAAAATACAGCAAAGTTAATTTTAGGACATAAACACATTATATTACCCATTTTTTTGGTAAATTATAAAAGATGAGGTTGTACCGAGTAAATAGATACCCAATATGTTAAGACTTAAAATTGTGTGCACCCATGTAACAGTCAGTCAGTGACTCCTGGAAGCATGAGATTACAAGCGGTAGATCAAGTTGTTCATATGTTATAAAATTAAAGAAAATATTACAATAAAGAAATAGTTAAATACAGCAAATACAGATGATTAAAGCAGTATTAAACCCTCAGTGGTTTTTTTAAATTTAAAAAACGCAAAAAATAATACTACAGCGCAAAAATTTAAACAAATAATGAAAATACCATCAGTGATAAAAAAAAAATTTTGAAAGCAAAAATACCATCAATGATAAAAAAAAATATGAATAGTATGTATGTAAAATTATTTTACATACATAATATTAATATTTTTTATCACTGATGATATTTTTGTTTTAATTTTTTTTTTTTTATCACTGATGGTATTGTTATTATTTGTTTAAATTTTTTTGCTGTAGTATTATTTTTGTATTTTGATGGTTTTTACCTATGAACAGCAGCATTAATTGATCGATTTTAGGCACAGGTTTTTTTTTTTTTTTTTACACAGGTTTTTTTAATTTGACACACTGAACATAATAAAATAATTATTCCACAGTAAACTATTTGTTACATAGTTAGTCTGGCTGAAAAAAGACAAAAGTCCATCCAGTTCAACCATAGAAAAAAAAAAAAAGTTATAATCCTACACCCACAGTTGATCCAGAGGAAATAGTTAACAAATACAGATGATTAAAGCAGTATTAAATCCTCAGCGGCTCTTTTAATTTAAAAATGCAAAAATACTACAGTGCAAAAATTTTAACAAATAATGAAAATACCATCAGTGATAAAAAAAAAAAATGTTGAAAACAAAAATCCCATCAATGATAAAAGATATTAATATTATGTATGTAAAATTAAATTGAATGAAATTTTTATCACTGATGGTATTTTCATTATTTGTTTAACTTTTTTTGCTGCAGTATTATTTTTGTATTTCGATGGTTTTTACCTATGAATAGCAGCATTAATTAATTGATCGATTTTAGGCACGGGTTTTTTAATTTAACACACAGAACTTAATATTATTATTATACAGTATTTATAACAGCAGCCATGTGATAGTTGGCTCATGCGCTGTACATTACAGAGGGGGACAGAACATGTGACAGAACAAATACCAATACAACTGCAAAACATGAGGGGATCGAGGGCCCTGCTAGCCTTGGAGCTTACAATCTAGGAGGGAGGGGATGGTGGCACAGGAGGAGATAGCTGTGGGGGACTGTAAAAGGATGGACTGGGGTGGTAGGTAAAGAGTGGAGGAGGTCGGCAAGTTAGCAGGGGGTGGGGTAGGCTTCCCTGAAGAGATGGGTTTTCAATGTGCGCCTAAAGGAGAGGAGAGTAGGTGATAATCTGATGGGTTGGGGCAGGGAGTTCCAGAGGATGGGTGACACCCTGGAGAAGTCCTGGAGGCGGGCATGGGAGGAGGAGACCAGGGAACTAGAGAGAAGGAGGTCTTGTGAGGAGCGGAGTGTGCGTGTTGGGCGGTACTTGGATATTAGGTCAGTGATGTAGTTCGGGGCAGTATGGTGGACAGCTTTGTACGTCAGTGTTAGGATTTCGAATTTGATCCGTTGGGCAATCGGAAGCCAGTGGAGGGATTGGCAGAGGGGGGTGGAGGACACTGAGTGGAGGCCAGTGGAGGGATTGACAGAGGGGGGTGGAGGACACTGAATGGAGGCCAGTGGAGGGATTGGCAGAGGGGGATGGAGGACACTGAGTTGAGGCCAGTGGAGGGATTGGCAGAGGGGGGTGGAGCCAGTGGAGGGATTGGCAGAGAGGGGGGTGGAGGACACTGAGTGGAGGCCAGTGGAGGGATTGGCAGAGGGGGGTGGAGGACACTGAGTGGAGGCCAGTGGAGGGATTGGCAGAGAGGGGTGGAGAACACTGAGTGGAGGTCAGTGGAGGGATTGGCAGAGGGGGGTGGAGGACACTGAGTGGAGGCCAGTGGAGGATTGGCAGAGAGGGGTGGAGGACACTGAATGGAGGCCAGTGGAAGGATTGGCAGAGCCAGTGGGGGTGCAGAGAGGGGTGGAGGACACTGAGTGGAGGCCAGGGATTGGCAGAGAGGACACTTGGAGGCAGTGGAGGGAAGGAGGGGTGGAGGACACTGAATGGGAGGGGGGGTGGAGGACAGTGAGTGGAGGGATTGGCAGAGGTGGTGAAGCCAGTGGAGGGATTGGCAGAGGGGGGTGGAGGACACTGAGTGGAGGCCAGTGGAGGGATTGGCAGAGGGGGGTGGGGACACTGAATGGAGGCAGTGGAGATTGGCAGAGGGGGGTGGCGGAGACGGAGTTGGAAAGGTAGATGAGTCTGGCAGCCATATTCAGGATGGACTGAAGCGGGGATAGCCAGCGGTGAGGCAGGCCAGTGAGGAGGGAGTTGCAGTAGTTGAGTCGTGATATGATGAGGGAGTGGATGAGCTATTTAGTGGTTTCTGGGGTTAGGAACATAAAATAATTATTCCACAGTAAGCTATTTGTTACATAGTTAGTCTGGCTGAAACCATAGAAAAAAAAAAAGTAATAATCCTCCACCCACAGTTGATCCAGAGGAAGGCAAAAAATAAACCCAGCAAAGCACGATCTAATTTGCTCCTGCAGGGGAAAAAAATTCCTTCCTGATCCCTTCGAGAGGCAATCGGATATTCCCTGGATCAACTTCACCTATTGTTAAAATTCTTACCCCAGCCATCACAGTTTGGCATGGGATCCTGCTCTCTCAGTGCTGCTTCCTTGAACTTCCGGTCTTTGCAGGAAACAGTTAACAGTGGACAGTGCAGTCTGCAGCCAATCTGTTAGTTTGGAGAAAGGAGGGGGAGGAAGAGGGAGGAGCATTATAGTGTCTTGCCATCCTACCTTATGGGGCTGTGTTTTTCCTTCAGGGTGATATTTCAGGGACTAAAGCCGGCCCATGCACGGGTCGAATTCTGAAAGAATTTTATTTTTCGAAAATCTTTTCTATGAATTTTTGTTCGGATTTCGTATCATTAGTGGGGACACAGCAACGGCCAATTTTGAGCGACCGTCGAATTTGAGTGATCGAGCATGTTGGAAATTTTTTGAAAAACGAACGAATTTCCAATCCATGATGGGCGAATCGTGCGAGAAATATAATCGTAAAAGAAACAAGCGTGAGCTGTGACCTGGAAAGAAAATTCTTGGCCACAAAAATTATTTTCTGTGGCAACATGTGAAGGCTTGGTTGGACGAATTTCGAAAATCAATGGTGGCGCCATCGGATTACAAAACGCAAGAGGTTTCCGAGTTTCTAAAGAACATTCATTTGGAATTCGACCCGTGTATGGCCTGCATAATGCAGATCATCTAAAAAAAAGAAATATTCCCCATCTCCTGTACGGTGAAGTCGATTGTGGGGGGGGGGGTCGTCTAAAGTCTGTGCACTCCAATGTTGGAAAAACGAATGAGGGGAGAGAAAAAGGGAAAGAGTGAAGTGAAAGGGGGGGGGGGGGCAGTGGGGGAAGGGGGAATGAGAGAGATCACCTCATGGGAGTACGGGAAGGGGCTGTGTGTTTCTATTGATGCACACAGTGTAGAGAGACACCGTTCTAGGCCCTGCATGCAAGGCCATAGGATTCTGCAAAAGGAAGGAGCCTCCCTGGAATAGGAAACCTGATGCAGTGGTCATGGCACCAGCTTAACCTCTTCGCACTGGCGCCTCCCGTCCCAGGAGGCGGGGCGGAATTTAGGGTCATGTGACCGCCGTGATTCGCCGTCATGGCGGTCACATGATTGGAAAAGGTACCGGTCGAAAGGGGAGATCGGGACCTTTCCAGGAGTTGCGCAGGGCGTCAAGACCAAGATCCCGAGAGGTCGCATATTTGCGTGCAATCGGCGTCAAGGGGTTAAAGTGAACATAGACAAGGACTAAAAGGTAAAGAAAGCTGTAATATCACTCTACGATACATTGTTGCAAAATGTGATTCTGTTATTCTTCTCTTCTTTTACAGTTTGTATGGGAATAAAATATCAGAGAGTTCCTGCACCCACCTGGCATTGGGAATAAGAAATAATAAGACCCTGAAAAGACTGGACCTGTCCAACAAAAACCTGGAGGGTCCTCATTTCAGTGAGCTGATGAAAGCTCTGACCACAAGCCGGATAGAGGAAGTAATGTGAGTAGAACGCGACTGATTGGTACAATAATTTTGACAGCTAATTTTTTTATCCACACCCAATATACACTATATTGTCAAAAGTATCGGGCCGCCTGCCTTTCCACTCACATGACCTTTAATGGCCCCCCCAGTCTTGGTCCGTAGGGTTCAATATTGAGTTGGCCCCGCCCTTTCCACACACATGACCTTTAATGGTCTCCCAGTCTTAGTCCGTAGGGTTCAATATTGAGTTGGCCCCGCCCTTTCCACACACATGACCTTCAATGGTCTCCCAGTCTTAGTCCGTAGGGTTCAATATTGAGTTGGCCCCGCCCTTTCCACACACATGACCTTTCATGGCCCCCCAGTCTTAGTCCGTAAGGTTCAATATTGAGTCGGCCCCGCCCTTTCCACGCACATGACCTTTAATGGCCTCCAGTCTTAGTCTTAGTCCGTATGGGTTCAATAGTCTTTGAGTTATTGGCCCCGCCCTTTGCAGCTATAACAGCTTCAACTCTTCTGGGAAGGCTGTCCACAAGGTTTAGGAGGGTGTCTATGGGAAGGTTGGACCATTCTTCCAGAAGCACATTTGTCAGGTCAGGCACTGATGTCGGGGGAGGAGGCCTGACTCGCAGTCTCCGCTCTATTTCAGC